TTCTGCGATAGCGTTGAGCGGAAGCTGAAAGTGTGGTCGCCACGCAAACATTGTGTTTACTCCGCTTTACGCGTGCATGAATGAGGAACAGGGAGGAAAGGGAGGAAGGAAGGAAAGGAGGAGACGGAGGAGGATAGTCCTGATGACGAGGTGTGGCAATTTAGGAGGTCCATCCACCTTCCCATCAACGCGTGAGAAAGACTGCTTCGAAGTAGTTGGAAAGCATAAACATTGCAATTCTGTGCTCTTGTGGCCTCTCAAACAGGACAAGTCTGCGCACCTGCTGGAGGAAGACCTCCTAATCCTTCATTTTCGGCCGACAAATGCACCAAGGCTGCTGTGGCTATGGGCGCCTTTAAAGTATCAGTGTTTCCTGCCCAACGGACGGAAGTCACGGAGTCGGGGGATGAGAGACTAGCAGTCCTTGCCTTTTCCACTGAGAAGACGCTACTTCCATCTCTGAGTGGGCAGAGTTGCTGCGTGTCCTCCTTAACCCACTTTCAGCCTCCTCTCACCTCCTCTTCCTCCTCCTCCCGTTGGTGCTACTGCTGATACTGTTGATGCTCCTCCTTCCCATCCTACGCCATTCCAACATGGCCTTCTTTAATGCGCAGCATTTCAGTGTGATGAAGATCGGTAGATGACTGACTGCTAGTGATGGATAAGACTGGACGCGGTGTACGAAGCGCAGCTTGGTGCGTCAACATATGGAAAACATAAAGTCATCTGGGAGTTGTTTGTTTGCAGAATGCGGCAGGACATTGGCAACATCGGAGGAGGTTGTTAGTTAAGGTGATGAGGTCAGTGGTGCAGCACTTGCACGGTGGATTGGGACAAGCCGTAATCCGACATTCGCCACTCTTCTCCTCTACCTTCCCCTTCAACAAGGACGTTAGTTGGATCCACTCGTTCAGTGACTGCTGTGTCGCCTCTCCCCCTCTCCTTTTCATAGGTGTGGCTCAAAATCGCTGTGAAGCCGCTAATTGTCAGCAGTGCAGCCTATTCGTGCGAATTCGGATTTGGACTAGTGGTGATTTTGCCTCAATTGTCTTTCATAAAGGACCTCCTCTTGACACTGGACTTCTGCACTACCCACCAGCATCATTAGCGTGCCCAAGAGGGTAATTGGTGCTTGAAAGACCGATTAGATAGGGAGCGACGGCAGATGAAAGAAGCACACACATTTAAGGCGTTTTCAGCGTCAAACTTGCCGACAACAGTAGGCGAGATCTGAGACCAGTGAATCAAGACGATTTGTAACTCGACAACTTGATGCGACGAGGAAGTCTCGAGGGG